ACTTCTATATGTTAACTTGCTGAAGGAATCTCTCAAGCTCACCTCCCTGTCCGTGCTGATTTTGTTGCCCATAGTTTTGAGGTGGAGGAGAGCTGTAATTGGAAGATTGGTTGTAAGGACCTCCTCCATGCTGAGGGGGGGACTGGTGTTGGCCCCCGCTACCCCCATATCCACCGCTCTGTCCTCCACTGCTCCCATATCCTCCAGACTGACCCCCACTGCCACCATAACCACCCCCACCCTGCTGCTGTTGCTGCTGACCGTAGCCAGACGACTGGGAGCTGTTCCCATAGTTACTGAAACACAAAATAGGTTTAACATGTTCTTATCAATAATGCCATATTCTGGGCATAACAAACCTAGAATTTAGACACACTGACAAAAAGATTCACCAATGAAATCTCACCCAGAGACAGACGAAGTAGCAGATTGATGCTGGTTATATCCTGAGTAAGAAGACTGCTGGTTGTATCCTCCACTTTGAGCTGCTGGAGGCTGGCTGCTGTTATTGTAGCCTCCAGAGCTGTACGACTGACTGGATTGAGTATAGCCCTGAGAGGGGGGCTGAGACCCATACCCTCCTAAAAAAGATAAAGTCGCCATGAAATGGAAGTTGTGATAGTCTTTTCTTGCCTATTGTGAAGTATATACCGAGTGAAACTGCTTCTTGAACAAGAAAAAAAATGAAGGGCAGGATTGGTTCATTGTGGTTTGCTACTGCTGTGATCTCATGTGAGTGACAGGTTGCCCCGCCCCAGTAAACACATCAATGTTGCCAAATCCGTAGTTTTCCCACGTAATTGGACTACTTTTACACTGTTGCCACGGGTTGTTTTTTTAGTTTGTGGGTTTAAGCAACCCTCTCCACCCCCCCCCCCCCCCCCCCCCCCCGTTTTGGTTTGGTTTGGTTTTGGACCGGGTTTTGAATAGCATTGGACTGGTTTTGTTACGCAAACCTGGCAACCCTGAAACATCATTTGAAGAGTTGTAGCAATTGGTATGTGAAGTTATTTTGATGAAAGAATACGAGGGCACATGAAAACGGATAAATCATTTAATATTAAATACTGCATTATTCCATAAAAAAAAGAGAATTGTTCATTTTGATTTCATGTTGACTTTAACTTTCACAGCATTGCCGTATAATACCTGACTGGGACTGTCCATAATTGGAGCCGTATCCACTCTGATTATAAGGAGCAGAGCTGCTCTCTGAGTTTTGGCTGTATCCTCCTAAGCTCTGCTGGCTGTAGTTTTGGCCAGGGGGTTGACTGTAACTCTGGTTGGACTGTCCTCCATAGCCACCATAACTGGGCACAACAAAATCAATTCATTTTTTTAATGATAAATGTGAGAAATCTTACGATAAATGCAATATTACGATAAGACTTTGGAAAGGATGCATTTAACTTACCCATGGCTTGAGGTTTGAGCATAATCTAAAGCGAAAAGACAATGTACATTATACATGGTGTTTATTTTTTGTTTTTTAGTAATTTATATATACTGGCAAGATCATGAATCTGCATCTGATCAAAAGACTACATTGGCTTTGGGAAGATAGAGTACTAGTCTGGGGATAGTTCACCCACAAACGAACATTATGTAATATAATTATTTTAGAATCGTGACATTTTACCTGTATGAGTAACGTTTGTGGAACAAAAAATATGATATTTTGAGAAATTAGGCTACCCTTTTTTCTCCATACAATTAAAGTCAATGGTGACCAAAACTATATACCAACATTCTTCTTTCATGCTCCACAGAAGAAAGTCATACAGGTTTGGAACTACACGAGGATGAGTAAATGATAACAATTTTCATTTTGGGGTAATCTAACTATTCAACTAGACAAGCTCCCGTTTTAATAAATGAGCCCTCGCTCACAGTTCTGTAATCGTAATGGGGGCGTTACATTTTTTGTCGCGTCGCTACCAGTGTGATGTAGAGGATATGCCTGAATGTAGCTAAACTGAATTTAAATCGAGAAAATATTCAGTATGGGCTCAGGGTAAATTAGGTCAGTAATAGGACAAACCAGCTCAAATTGAAAGAGCTGCAAACAAAATGGCGGATGCCGACATGTTCTTTATTTCGCATTTTCACAAATATTATATATGCTCCAAATAGGTCCATTGCTTCTGTAACACGTACATTACATCACTTCGACATTTGTGAGTGAACAATACAAATGAAAATTACTAGGTACGTTTTGCATTAGATACTATGTTTCGTCAAAACCTAACGTTAGCGATTATAATAAAAGACAAATAATAATAGGCCTAATAAATACGTTGACCTATCTTACCATTTGACGCCATGATAGCGCTTGAAATCCTTTTAGGAGCTGATGCAGAAGCCCAATTTGAGCTCAGTCACCTTTGGTTATCATTTACCAACTGCGCAACTGTGCGGAGAGTGAGTGAGAGACTGATGAGTGACGCTGTTATGTTGTGTCGGTATGAGGTATGAACCTGCAGGCGGCGCAGGGTCATTCTGAGATTCGGTAATATTTCACCTTTTTAAGGTGGTGGTTCACCAAAATGGAATACTAAAAGCTTTTCACAATAGGCTACTTTGGTACGTTCATTATAATGAATAAAAAAATATTGCATTTAAATAATTTTTATCATAAAATAAATAATGTCTTATATCTGTACACTAAGCATGTTGTCATGTCCCTGAGGCACTTCACTGAATTTGTACTTAGAAAATATTTAACAAGATGTGCGCAGTGTCTAAAATGTTTGGCAATATTGTAAGGATTTATTTGTTACTTTCTTGTGAAAAATATTTTTCTAAAAAAAATGCAAGATATTTGATAAAAAACAGACTATAAAGTTGTGTCCCTCAGTCTGAACTCAACCCCATCACAACAACTATTCTCTGCACATAATAATTTAGACTCCACCCATGTGTGACATCATTTACCTCATTCAGGTCTCTTTAACAGATACCCCCCCCCCAACAAAAAAGGTAGGCTATATCTTTCACAGTGGTTCAGAAGATGTTTATGTTTATGTAGATATCATACTTTTTATTAATACTTTTGATGCTTATTATAGTCAAGGGAGGGTACTGTCAAATTTAACAACTCACCCCATCACATAAAATTTTATTTGAATCCATAAGTATATCCAATGTACTTAGTTCATTGTTGCCATACATGGTCTACTCTCCTACACTACAAGATGAGCATCACATATCTGTATATTTCTCATTGTTTCGGGATTGAAAACTTGTGACAGGGCTGAGTTTTTCAATTAATTTATGAATAATTTTAATTTAAAAAAAAAATACTCATGGTTTCAGTGAAGACATACTTACCAAAATCATAACTCAATTATTTTGTTATAAATAGAATATTTGATGTAATGTGTCTACTTAAAAAGCATGTCAGAAATGGCAGCAACAGCAAAGACAGTGTTGTGCATGCAAATATGTTGACCCGAAAGGAGGGCACAATATGAGAAAGAGACAAAACAAAAAATATAACATTGAAGTAAATGCCTCCCTTCAAACCCCGTCACGGTATTCTCAACCTTGTCACATTAAAATTTTTTGGGGGAAAAAATAGGTAAAGGAAAGCATTTCTTGCTGATTACCATCTGACATGTTAAGGATTAACACAATACAATTGTGGTTTTAGTTAAACATCTAAATTAATATAATATAAAATAAAGAGACCACAAACACACAATTTGTTTATTTTTAACTTCAGTCCCATAAGATTTTTAAAATTATCAGATATGTTACATTTGTAGTTATTAAATTTTTATGTGGGACACATGAGCAGAAGGTAGATGTTTGTTTTATAGCAAGTTATGTGTGAAATCCTTTTTAAACCAATTCCATTTTGTCCGTTGCGAGGTTGAGAATTAAAGGCATTTAAATCAGATTTTTAAAAAAAAAAAAAATCTTTAATGCCTGACGTGGGAAAATATAATTTTTGGGGGATTTGATATGTGCCTAATGATGTGGGGTATTTAGAAAATTAATTATATGTAAAAAATAATAATAATAATTAAATTAAATTGGAAAACAACATTTTTGTTGTAAAACAAAAATCCAAGTTGAAATATTACAGAATCCCAGGAATGACTTACAAAATATTTACACACTACAGTCAATTATACAGTAACCACATACAATTAAAAACCACTTAAAAACTACACTAAAAGGGTCTTTTGAAAAATGTATTTTCTTGAAATTAAAAGCATCTTTAGTTACGTGTGAGTCTTAAAGGGATAGTTCACCCAAAAATAAAAATGTTGTACTCCCTCGAGATGTTCCAATTCCAAACCTGTACGAGTTTCTTTCTTCTGCTGAACACAAAAGAAGATATTTTGAAGAATGTTGGTAACCAGACAGTTGATGGCACCCATTGACATTCATAGTATGAAAAAATAAACACTATGGAGGTTAATGGGTGCCGTCAAACTGTCTGGTTGCCAACATTTTTCAAAATATCCTCTATTGTGTTCAACAGAAGAAACTCATACAGGTTTGGAACAACATGAGGATGAATAAATGACAATATTTTTGGATGAACTGTCTCTTTAAAAGTGTATAATGTATGAAATAAATCAAGATCAAATCGCTTTGCAATGACTATTAAGTAAATATCATTAAAAAAATAATTAAAACCACAAGCAAAAGAGAAAACACAGGTGACATGCTAATTTAATATAAATTCTAAAATTATAGAAGTTGTTACAACACTGGTATAGAATGAATGAGTGAAAGCAGTATTTGTAATGTGCAATATATGCCTTATGCAGTCAAATCAATTTGATTTTTCATTACAAATATTCAGAACAAAAAATACAAAATCATACTGAATTTATCCTATATAGGATATTGGCATTTTAAAATGTTTTGAGATCTTGGTGACATTACTGCAATTGCATAAAATATATCTAATACACAATAACAACAGTATATAACAACTATATCTGTGCTTAGGCAGGATAGGATGGCCAGATCATGTCATATAAACATGGTACATATTACATTATTAAAAAATAATCTGCAACACCTCTGAAGCTTTGCATTGATTACATTTTTGCACCACAACAGCATTCAAAAACATGGCAAATCAATGCCCCACAGACAAAACTGGTGGTGTTTAAAAATGTAAGACTGTGTTTAACTTGTACATTGCATCTACTTAAGGAATCTACTATCTCCAAAAGACTACTAACGCAATAGAGAGGCCTAGAACCAGAGTTGTTTGACTTTCACTCCTCCAGGCATGACCAAAAAAGGGAGCTTCTGGAACTGTGGTGCGGATGAGGCTCGCAAAGCTTGAGACTCTGGAGTAGATACCTGGTCGGTTCTTCTGAGCACACCCAAGTCCAAAACTCACAACTCCTGCCTGAATCCACGTCCCATTGCCAACAGGACAAACCAGAGGCCCTCCAGAGTCCCCCTGAAAGAGGAAAATTATGTTATTTACATGGTAGGATGTCAGTGCGCCAGCAGTATAATAGTAGTAACATACCTGACAGGAATCCTTGCCTCCCTCCATATATCCAGCACAGATCATGTCTGATAGGACGTCAACTGTTACTAAATCAGATGACAAAATCTGATACATTGATTGGCAGGAAGACTGGTCGATAATGGGCACTTCCACTTCCCGTAGCGCCCCAACTCCAGTGAGGGAGACTATTTGAAAGGAAAGACAGGGAAAGCAATTTACAAAATGGAAATTATTATTATTAAACTGACATAACATGCAATGGGAATAGAAGTGTAATATCTATAATGCTTTGTCCAGACATTTTTTGTCAGGCAGCTATATCACACATAAATTTGTTACTGACACAAAGCAGTCTTATCTCTTATCTATCATTTCTGTGTCCTCACATTGCAGGACAATGAAAAAAATCTCTTAAATCTTATATGTTGCACGTCAATTTCATCAATTTCCATTTTAGGTTGTCAGAAATACTACTTAAACGTCTTGAAATGTTGTGAGTTTCTCATTTAGGGTCATGAACATGCCTGCAAAGTGTCAACACTGATGTGTTGTGGAATATGTGTTAAAAAAGTTTTAGATATTAAGAATCTGTTAAGAAGTTTGTTAGCATTAAGTAAATCCATCCACTTTTTATCCTCCTTTACCACTCACATTTCTTGGCTAACTCAATGCTGCTGCATATTTTCACAGTTAAGCCATTATTTAAATGTCCATGATTGCTTCTTCTGACTTCACCTTGTCCACTGTAACTACCACTACTGAAATGGTAAGAAATCCAGCTGTCCCTCCCAAGGAAACATCACATCCAGAAAACATTTGCCACATGTTTAGAGTAAAATCTCTGTTATTTGCTGTGGTTACCCCTTATTTTCTTGTTGATGCACTTACCGCCCTCTTGAGCGTGTCCCCAGCCCGTAACGTAGCATAAGGTTCCACTGTTGAACTGGAAGCCAGCATATGGCAGACACACAGGTTGAATCCTGTCTGACCAGGTGACCGGAGAGCGCAGCTGCACTAAGGCTACATCTCTGCCCTCCTGAGGACTTGAGTATCCTTCTGGAACAACCACCCGCTGCACCTGACTGACCATCTCAAACTGGTTATAGCCATTAAGCAGATGGCGTCCCATGTACAGGCGATATGAAGACACTTCTGAGGGGCTGAGGGTAGGAGATATAGAGAACATTAACTTCTCTATAATCAACACAGGCATTGATAATATTATAATAAAAATACTTACTTGGGAAAGCAGTGTGCAGCAGAGAGGACCCAATTTTTTGCAATTATGGATCCACCGCAAACATGACCGTTGGCTCCCATCTGAATGTCCACTTGCCATGGCCACGCACCTGCTGATGCTTCAACTCCTCCCACAATGCGTTTACCTAGCGGAGGCCTGCCGCACACTTACGTGAACAGGTCAGAGGAGATTTAGTGTACATACACAGTGGAGGGTTTTCTTACCAGTTCACACCTGCCCTACAACTCCCCTAGAGTATCATTACATCTTCTCACTAATAAGGAGTCACACAAACAGGGGCATGAGACGTGAGTAAAAGCTGTTGCGGGTAAGGTTACAAATTTAAAGAGAGAGGGAGGAGAAACTTCTCAGAATGATCTATTAAGCTATTCAAAAATAAAAATAAATGTATTTCTGAATCCAAAGTCATTGTGATATGTAATGTGAGGCTTAAAGTAAAAAATGTCTACTGTCTAAGCTGAAACAGTAGAGCATGGTTCTAGAAAGCTCAAGGTCATGGGTTTGATTCCTAAGTTGTTTTCCTTAAATGCAATGCAAGTCATTTTGGATAAAACATCTGTCAAATGCATAAATGGAAATTAAAAATAAATGTTGTTTAGCATATTTTATTATTAATTTAAAAAAAATTTCAATGTAAAAAATAAGCAACAAATCAATTTGTTTTAAATTATTATTAAAAGAAAAATAGGTAGGGAGGACACTTTTGTGATCATGTGACAAGAAAATAGTAGTACAACTAGAAGACCCATATAGACCCAGAAGATCATGATTTATAATATCAAATATTTTGGCCTTTTACTAGAAAGTTATGCTTTGTTCAAATCAAATGGGGTAGCCTTAATTTTGGTTTTTAACTTGATCAAGTATTTTATTACTACATTCAGATCATTTTCTTCATATCATTTTAAAAAATCATTATAAACATTTCAATTCGTATGAAAACAAAACAAAACATGACTACAAAGATTACATGATTTTTTTGTATAGATTTCTCTATAATCTCAGACACACTGTCACTGACCCATAAACTGAAAAATAATTACCTTGTGCCACACACGTTGACAGCCCTGTATTTTGTAGGACACAAAAAGACAAATAAGGAATTTAATGAATGCAGTGAATCCAATAAGACCATCACTACACCCTAACAAGACTTAGCCTACCTGTTACCATCAAGACAAGGAGCAGCTGCAGGCACGAATCAGTCATTCTGTTCAGTTGGCAGAGTATCTATAAAAAATGCGTGTTTTAAAAATTATACTATAATAATTTGCCCTAGGAGTCACCCTTGGACTCTAATTTAACAAAAAACAATCAACATTGTTGTCAAAAAAGTTGAGTCCAAAAACTTACTTGTAAATGAATGTCAAATGTCCTAGCCTACCCAAAAGGGATATCTCAAAGTCGGATAAAGCGCGCGAACAAGAAGAAAAAGGCAATGAACACTGTTTATTTTTAGGGCACAAAACAAAACCAAAAACGATTTAACCCCGAAAACACAACACTTTAATCGCGACAAGCTACAGATTTGTGATGCCTCGTCTTGAATACGGTAGCTACATATTCGTATCTTCAAACTATAATTTGCATGACATTTGAGAACAAAGATTTCGATGTAATCGACATGGAAGAAAAGATAACCGAGCGAAAACGCAGAAATGTTCATTTGCCAGAGAATGTATGAATGTACCTGTGCGTTTCTACCTGCTGCCAGCATCCAATCACAACGCGCGGTCTCAATCTCCTCCCAAATAATGAGCCCGTTGTTCTCGCCATAAAGAAGATTCACACAGTGGAGGAGAGCAGAATTCCTGCCGTTCGTGTTGAACAGTTGGATTAAGTTGAATAAGTTTCGGAAAAAACGCAGACTTTCAGTTCAATTTACTTTTATCTTTTCTCAAGCCACACAATAATAATTTGTTCACTATAGGCGCAATTGATTCCAGCGATATAGGCATTTTAAATACCATAAATTCGAATTTTGCTGCATATTACTTGAAAAGAAGCCACAATAAGTTTAATATTCAGAATATTTAAATAGTTTTTTTCATGAAAACATTTTCGAACATTATTTGTAATGTTATTTTCTGCATTTACATGCAAGGTTCGTAATCACTATTAGAAAAATGGTATTTTTAGTAAAACAGTAACTAATTTACTGTTGTCCACTATATTCGTAGAATATAGTTTTTTATATAAAATCATGGTTATAAACATAATTGCTGCTAAAACCCCCATGGTTACCTTTAAATATCTGCCACTCTTTATCCACAGCTACCATTTTAGTAAGAACACAAAATGCTTCATCAAATAATTTATTTTTCAAAAGAATAGAAAACAATTGGCTATTAACTATATATCAGTATCAGTGGTATAAAAATCCCTTAAAGATTTAGTTACCAGGTATTGTTCCTTACGCTGGTATTGTTCCTCTTCTACACAAGTCATTCGACCCTCTTTATCATATATATATATATTTTTATATATACATACCCACATCCCAGTGTATATAGGGATCAACTTTCACCTAAAAGCCAGACAGGTGCTGCATGTGCAATAGGTAATTCTATACTGTCTAATGAATAATTCAACATAATGTTGCTTGACTTCACAAACTTTTTTTCTTCAAAGTGCTTTTGCCATTTGAACATGAAGGGGAGGAGTCTGGTATAAATATTAAACCACCTCAAAGAACATACACTCACCGCCCACTTTATTAGATACACCTGTCCAACTGCTCGTTAACACTTAATTTCTAAGCAGCCAATCACATGGCGGCAACTCAGTGCATTTAGGCATGTAGACATGGTCAAGACAATCTCCTGCAGTTCAAACCGAGCATCAGTATGGGGAAGAAAGTTGATTTGAGTGACTTTGAACGTGGCATGATTGTTGGTGCCAGAAGGGCTGGTCTGAGTATTTCAGAAACTGCTAATCTACTGGGATTTTCACGCACAACCATCTCTAGGGTTTACAGAGAATGGTCCGAAAAAGAAAAAACATCCAGTGAGCGGCAGTTCTGTGGGTGGAAATGCCTTGTTGATGCCAGAGGTCAGAGGAGAATGGCCAGACTGGTTCGAGCTGATAGAAGGGCAACAGTGACTGAAATAACCACTCGTTACAACCGAGGTATGCAGCAAAGCATTTGTGAAGCCACAACACGCACAACCTTGAGGCGGATGGGCTACAACAGCAGAAGACTCCACCGGGTACCACTCATCTCCACTACAAATAGGAAAAAGAGGCTGCAATTTGCAAGAGCTCACCAAAATTGAACAGTTGAAGACTGGAAAAATGTTGCCTGGTCTGATGAGTCTCGATTTCTGTTGAGACATTCAGATGTTAGAGTCAGAATTTGGCGTAAACAGAATGAGAACATGGAACCATCATGCCTTGTTACCACTGTGCAGGCTGGTGATGGTGGTGTAATGGTGTGGGGGATGTTTTCCTGGCACACTTTAGGCCCCTTAGTGCCAATTGGGCATCGTTTAAATGCCACGGCCTACCTGAGCATTGTTTCTGACCATGTCCATCCCTTTATGGCCACCATGTACCCATCCTCTGATGGCTACTTCCACCATGTCACAAAGCTCTAATCATTTCAAATTGGTTTCTTGAACATGACAATGAGTTCACTGTACTAAAATGGCCTCCACAGTCACCAGATCTCAACCCAATAGAGCATCTTTGGGATGTGGTGGAACGGGAGATTCGCATCATGGATGTGCAGCCGACAAATCTGCGGCAACTGTGTGATGCCATCATGTCAATATGGACCAAACTCCCTGAGGAATGCTTCCAGCACCTTGTTGAATCTATGCCACGAAGAATTGAGGCAGTTCTGAAGGCAAAAGGGGGTCCAACCCGTTACTAGCATGGGGTACCTAATAAAGTGGGCGGTGAGTGTATATGATCTGAAGTACCACACTGATGCACTAAAATGTTGACTTGAAATAAATAACGTTCAAAAACAATGACATGAATATTACTATTCATTTATTTAAAAAAAATAACAGGCTCAATACAATGCGAATGTACAATCTTAGACCTTTCCCTCTTGGAGAGAGTATTTCTACGTGACATTTAAGGTTAGCTGTGAAAAACATCTGGGATGAAGGGACAGTCTCACTCTCCTCATTTTTTAGTGAACTTGGCCTGCTTGTGTTTAGGAGGTGCCCATTTCAAACAATGTGTGTCCACTGTAAAAACACAAAATGTAAAATGTTTAATGGTTTAAACTTGTAAATACACAACATCACATCCGTAAAGATAGCATAAGAAGCACATTTGCGCATTTTTCAGATCCGTTACCTGTTATTGGGGGTTTCTTGTACTGGGCACTTTTGAGATGTTCCTCTACAAGTTTGGGTGTGACACAGATGACATGCTGACCTTTCCAGTACTTGACCATGTTTAGAGACTGTAATGTGCTGATGATGTCACTCTGAGTGATACTTGTCATCTGACTATGGGTACAGACAGTATGCATTAGTTAATGCTCTTTATCAAAGAATTAGCAGCCTATTTATCTTGCAGCATTTTCCTTTTTTGTCTGAATTGTACAGGTATACAAATGTGCATATAACCTCATGTATTATTATTTTTCATGCAGATTTGTACTTGTATTTGGGACTGGACGTGTACCTGAGGTCTTTGATGGACAGAGTCCCTCTGAAGTCTCGCAGAATCTCTAGTAGTACCCATGACCAGTAACTCCTATAACTCAACTTCCCCAAGTCTGACAGAGGTTTCTCTGGAGACCCCACTGTACTCTCCAGCTTAGATAGCTCATAACCTGAGACGAATTATGACACAAAGAACAATTATTCATCTATAAAAGTGCTTATATCAGAGGCAAACAATTGGTGAAAGGTGAATCAGGGGTGAAACTTACTAAATGCAATTAGAAATTTTCCATATCCTCTTCGCTGGTATGGAGGAAGAGTGAGAATACAAGCAACATTGTTCCCATCTGGAGACTCTTTCTCCTGCTCATGAAAAACATACATCGATAAAGCGTGTTAAATAAGATAAAAATTAACAGCTACACTGCATAAATACAACTGACATATGTCAAAAACAAACAGTAGAAACACTTCACCTTAGAGAAGTAACCCACAATATGCGCTCCCTGTTTGTTGACTTCAGTGAGGATGTAGAAGATGAACGGCTCCACGTCAAAGTAAAGTGTTTTATGATCCAAAAACAGCTTTGCCAGGAGACACAGATTCTGACAGTAGATCTACAGCGAGAAGGACAATGAGAACGACAGAAACTGTGGCAAATTCAACTGCACATGGACATGCAGACATTCACATGCACATGTATTAGCAATGTAATAATTCTGTTTAGATTTACAAAGTCTTCTCCAGGTTTGAAATCTATTCATCATGAAATGATTTGTTTCTGTTTCATGTTAAATGTAAGTGCTAGGTGTCATTCATTTGGCTCACCTTATGGTCCTTCCCATCAACTTCGTATACTGAGATATTGTTTCTGCGATAAATCTCTTTGCCTGGAGGCTGACGCCACTGACACTGTGACTGAAACGAGAGCCATTGAGAAACAAAGAAGCGGGAAAACAAAAGAAAGCATATATTTTATAAGAATGTAAACCTTAACCTGTGAAGCTAGAAATGCTCTAAGACAACAAACACAACAAAAATCATTTAAAACTAGCTGACCAACAAAGACCAACACCAACTAAAAACAAATGCTTGTGCAATAGATTGCTACAGTAATGAGCCCTAAAAAGTAAGTTAGCATTTTTGCACTTCTGGTTCCATCGTCTCATTGTCGAAGTGTTTTTGAATGGGTCTTTGGTTAAATGTCTTAAGATCTGTGGATAACACAAGCTCAAGAAATTTTATCTTTAGATTTTTTCTACGAGACAAATAACTTTAGTAATACTCCATTCATTATTTGAAAAAGCGGTTGCTAGCAAGTGGCTAAATGGGACAACAGAGGTTGTCGGGGACATGAAACATCACACCAAAAATTCATCTAAACACTAGATAAATTTCATAGCCTTGTTGTGTTTATAATCACACTCTTGCAAATTATCTTAACTCAAACTATCATATTTTACATAAACATTAAAATATTTGTTGGAAATGTAGTGATTGGTGTAGTTTATTTATAGCCTAAAGGCCCCAATATACTCATGGCGAAGTTCTTTTTCGTTCTTTGCTTAGTGGTAAAACGAAGTTCGGAATAAGAGAACAGGGAGATACTGTTAGCGAACATCTGACACCGCCCACACCAATGAGAGTGGTGTTTAGAGCTGCGCGCTT